TCCTCCCTACGATCTTCAATCCATTCATATATGTAACATTCTACGCCGCTTATTTAACAAGGCGACTGCAGCGAAAATCCAGAACACGTACTTGTTCTAGTTGTAGATTGCCACGCCTCTCAGACCACTATTTTTTTTCCCCTACTCCTTGGAGCGTTTCTAGTGAATCCGTTAAAGAAGGAATCACCTTGGTTGTCCCAGACGCCATCATCTAGATCACGTGTGGGAGCAACACTGAAAATAAACACGGAGAGTTCTTCGCAACTCGCCTGTCATTGTGAACTGCTTGGGTTATCCCAAACACCACGGCTGATCGGTTCCAGGAAGCCAGTCGGTCTCCCACTGTCAATCTCGGCATGCTACCGAACCAACGAACAGACGGTTGTGTAGGCACACACATCATTCGCTTACCTACCGCTTTCGGTCTGTCTTTCGTTTTAAGGGCCTGGCCTTCTTTGATTTTATATTTGAATGACGGGTAAGTATATATATATATATATATATATATATATATATATATATATATATATATATATATGTGTGTGTGTGTGTGTGTGTGTGTGTGTGTGTGTGTGTGTGTGTGTATGTATATATGAGGAAAATCGATGGTAAAGTGGAAAATATTTTCCTGTCACGCGTTTCGTCATTTACTACTGCATCGGATTAAAGTGAAGTTTACGTTCTTGTGACTACATATGCGCATGAAGGAGAGGGGTCACTGAAATTTTAAATTATTTGTTTTTTTTTTAATTTTCAACTACATTTTTTTTTAAATAGTCTGATATATAAAATTTTATATCCTTTGCCCACGAATAAACACGCACACACATAATCTATTTTTTCTTTCTACTTTTTAGTAAAATCTCCTCCTCCTCCTTCTTCTTCTTCTTCTTCTTCTTCTTCTTCTTCTTCTTCTTATCATCATTATTATTATTATTATTATTATTATTATTATTATTATTCTGCAGTCGCACATATCTCAATTACTTGTATAGGTTTATTAATATTATTTTTAATCGTTTCTTATTATATTTATCATTAATATTTATTATTATTATTATTAATTTATTCTCGTTTAAACAAATGCATATTTCTATACGCATCTTTACGTATATTTATACAGGTTGCGATATATAAATTGTCGTCTAAATTACGCAGAAATGAAAATAACAGATATATTTACCAAAATTACACAAAAATATCTCGAAATACTAAATAGTAAATTTATTTAATAAAATTGCCATTGGCGTCAACGGCGGCCTCGAGATAATTTGAGAATCTACTGCAAGTCTTCGGGGCAGTCTCCATATTTAAGTTCGTAAATGCTACGATAATCCTTGCTTTCAGTTCATTTTTGGTCCTACAAGGAGATTTGTTGGTCTCTCGCTCAACTGCGCTCCGCACAAAATAATCAAGGGGGGTGCAATCTGGAGAGATAGCGGGTCAGATGTAAGTGGTGATGTGGTCGCAGAAATTGTCTGATATCCATAACGATATTCAGTCACCTCCCGACAAGGGTGTCATGTGGCACAAGGCCTTTTTAACGTGGGCATTCCGTATAAACGGGTTCAGGGCCGGTTTTACCTCCCTGAAGGAGACTCCGCCCTTCGGCGTAGCCTCCTTCGGGTTCCTCCCGTTCGTAGGAAGAGAGTTCAACCGAACAGTCGGTTCAGTCTGATATCCATGACTCTCCCTAAGAGTTCTACTGCCAGACATAGGGTCTTCCAGCAGCCAACATCTTGACCCAGGGCTACATTACCTCCTTAAGGCAAGTAATGTAGGCCTCCATGTTGAATTTGAGGCCCACACTAACACAGTTTGGAGTTCTCTTCTTATCAGAAATATCAGAGAGAGTTTTCCGAGCGTCCGTACCTACGTAATCACCATTAGACTCATCCAACTCTTCCTGAGTCCTCTGCACTGTCCCCAGGTTGACACTCAAATACTCTGTAATGCTTGTATTGGAGTTTACGTTGCGAATGTCAAGCAGTACAGTATGACGTTTCCATGAATTTGGGCGAGTGAATTTCGTCATGGTGTTCTTTTTCTCATAGACGTTGAACAACTGGCCCTACTATCCTGTGCAGTGGGCAAAAGCATATGCGAGAAATAAAAAATATAAAACACATTTCACCCTGTACACACACACACACACACACACACACACACACACATATATATATATATATATAGTTGTCAGGCATGACGATTTCGTCTAGCATGAAACAACCTGTCACCTCTAAGTGTTGATTTCAATGTTCACTTTTATATTTACACACGCTCTATCTCTGATATTGAGCACTTTATCCCATAAATATACCACACCTTAAGAGTATATTTCTTCATATATATTTTTTTTCAAGCATATATGGTAGAAAGATCTGTACATATTATGTCTATTTATTGTTATTTTAATCCTCTCGACTTCTCTTATCGACTTCTTAATGTTAATATTAAATTCATTAAGTAAGGCACCGTTATTTTTTTTTTTTTTATTTTATTTCCTCAAGTACGTTCAATCCCATCCGAGATCATCTTCATCGGTGAATTCCTCAGACAAAAAATTCATGTAATCGATAGTTGCGATATTTTGTAAATACGCATCAAACACGCTCCGTTATAATTATTTTAAATACGCATGAACGGGCACGGAATTCATTGCAAGTACTTCAGCCCATGAAATAGAATGTCTGTCGCCTCTTGGTGTTAAACCCAATGCCCACTTACACACAAACACACACACACACACACATATATATATATATATATATATATATATATATATATATATATATATATATATATATATAATAAATAATCATTTATTTAAAAAATTTGATTCCAAAACGCTACATAAGGAGCTCTGTTCCATCTTCAAGCGAAATTTTTATGGAACAGAGCTTATTTTAACTCAATTTAATTTAAATAATTATATTGAAGTTTTCGGCTCTTGTTTTGAAACATGAGACTTCTTATGTAGCGTTTTGGAATCATATTTTTAAATAAATAATTATATTTATGCTCTACTTTTGTATCGAGCACTGTTTTTAAAAAAATAATAACTAAAATACTAAGGGACTTTGGATTATCTACCTTCCTATTTTCTATATATTTTCACACGCACACACACACACACACACACACACACACACACACACACACACATATATATATATATATATATATATATAAAATCTAAAATATTACAAAAACTAACATTTTCCGTTACCTAGTTTTCTATAAATGTAGGTTGCCTCCACTAGTGAAAAAGTCAATTGTTTTCTGCCACTTTATTAAAAATATATTGAACACTTATTATATATATATATATACATACATACATATATTTGGTCATCAACCTTTCATTAAACATTGTTCGTTTAATATGGCTCACAAGTGAAATTTAATTAATTTTTTTCTAGTTTTCCCAGTGTTCTTACGTCTTTTTACGTATATATATATATATATATATATATATATATATATATATAATGTTTTAATGTGATTTTAAAATAAGCATATTTCCCGGAGTCTCTTAAATGTAAGTGATTTTCTATTCACTCAAAGTTCTTGACCAACGGCGCAGTTTTAATAGTAGTACAGTAAAGTACTGTTGTTGCTGCTGCCGCTGCTGCTTCCGTTACTGCTGTTGTTGCTAACGATGTGGAATTCCTTGTAGGGTTCGATGTCAGAGACAAACAGGGATTTTCTAAGCACAGCTTAGATGTGGCACAAGGCCTAGTGTATGTGGCACACAGTGAGGATCGAACTCACTAATCAGTCGTAATTGATCTAGCAAGACAAGCTTTCTAACCATTACACCACGTCGAGGTGCCCAATGTCAGTGACAAGCAGCGTGTCTTTGTATTGGTCATGCTGCAATGTGGGACCTGCGACTATTTAATTTTACACGCTATTTCTTTAAAGTGGATTAACGAGAGATTACTGAGTCGTTGTTTTCCTTTTAATTACTTTGACAAAACAGAAGAGTGGGTAGTCAAGAAAGAGGGAGACATTAAATACACATGCGCAAATCAATCCAAGAGTGAAGAGATTATCATGGCAACGGCAAGTTTTTTGGGGTTTTTTTTTATTTTTTTATTTTTTACTGGGTTTACGTATATCCACTGGTAAAGGTAGTAGTAGTATGTCTCCCTTAGTCACGCATGTGACCCATTTTGACAAGTGGATTAGTGCATAATGAAACGAAATTACAACAGATGGAATTTAAATGTTAATGCAACGATGTGCGCACGCGTGGAATCACAAGCAGACATACCTCTCCCTCCCTCCACTCTCTCACACGCTCTCTCTTTCTCACTCAGCCTCACTCTCTCTCACAAATACATTCCGTCTCACTCACGCTATCTCTTTCACCCCCTCTCTCTCAGAGTATTCATTTTTATCTGTTCATAATCTCTCTCAATGTGTATATATATATATATATATATATATATAAATATATATATAGATCTATCTATCTATCTATCTATCTATCTATCTATCTATCTATCTCAGCCTGTTCATTATCTATCTATCTATCTATCTATCTATCTATCTATCTATCTATCTATCTACCCCAGTCTGTTCATTATCTATCTAACTATCTATCTATCTATCTATCTATCTATCTATGGCCACATCATGTTGAAACAATGGTTCCTATACGATCACCAAATTTATTTAAGCAACGTCGAACATAGTCAAGGCCTAGGTGGGTGATTGATTCGGTAATGGATAATGGCTCGGCATTTTTAATTTGAGGGCCGCGTTTCACTTCCACTTGGCGTCGTTATATTCCCTTACGCGCAAAGGCCCGCGGGATAGGTTTGAACCCACCTCTTCTCCCCCGGCTCTAGTTTATTTGGTAATACTTGTATCACTAAATCATTAGTATATAAAACAAATTCTTACAATGTAAAATAATATATTTTCTGGCTTTAAATAAGCTTCAATGTGCTGATAAGCTGTAGAAAACGAATGAATGAATTTATGAATCCATGACTTTATCTATCTATCTATCTATCTATCTATCTATCTATCTATCTATCTATCTATCTCAGCCTGTTCATTATCTATCTATCTATCTATCTATCTATCTATCTATCTGTTACAGTCTATTTATGTTTACTTATCTCTGGTTGTTTATCTATCTATCTTCAATTTTTAGGTGACGCTTCGAAATACAGAAGGTTGCAGCAAAATTTTGGCCTAATGTATGACATATGTATATCTCTTTCTCTCTACATATACACAGATAGGCAGACTGGCAATGTGGACGTAGAAATCAATACTGCAGGGTGGTCTTCGGTTTTACAACTGCAACGTAAGTTTTAATGATGAAAAATATAGAAATATTACGGTCCTCTCAAAATATTATCGGCAAATAAATAAAAACAACGGTGTACGTCCAGAAATAGTGTGGGAAATGATAGCGTGTTTTATTCGTTTTCTACGGCTTATCGACCATTTTTCAGGTTATTTAAAGCCCAAAATATTTTTAGACTGTAAGAATTTCTTTGTGTAGTGTGGAGATTATAATGGTTTATTGATAATTTTATGATAATTGATAGTTATAGTTTTATTGATACAAGTCCTAATAATGAAACCATAATTGTGGGGAGTTTTTTTGAGTTATTTGCACGTAAGTGAATATAAGATACCCGTTTGGAATTGGAAATCGCAGAGGCGAGTTTCAATTCCGAGCCGGACTGCTTTGTTTTTTACGCCTTATCAACCTTTTGGAGGTTATTTAAAGCCAAATAAAAAAAAATAGATTACAAGAATAATTTACTGATACTTGTCTTACTAATTGTTGTAACATACCTACAGACGATAATGTGTATGTCCCTATTCACATAAATACATTAGTAAATACTGTATGTTGGCCTGTAGTTGGAGATTTGTCTCCAGCTGTGCTGGTCAAACTCTCTGCCTCCATGGTGGGTGGGGATACAGGAACCCCAGACGAGGTTATGTCGAAGAACAGAGTCTCGTCTCGGGAAATAGCTACCCGAAACCGTTTTATACGGGGTCTACGAGGAATTTTTGGCCGAACCTACGGGCTCGGATACCCCACATTAAATTCAGCCTTCCGACCGCGTGGGGTGGTTGCTAGATAACCTGTAGTTTGGAGATACTTCTCCAGTTGTGCTGGTCAAAATCTCTGCCTCTGGGCAGAGAGGATCCCCAGACGAGGCTATGTCAAAGGGCAGAGTTTAGTCTCGGGAAACAGCTACTATCATGTGTCTAGAAATTTCAACAACCTGTTTTTGATTCTAAATATATGCCTCCTTTATGTGTCCACTTAACTAATATCTTCATTTGCTCAGTTGATGATATTCTCAGCAGTCTTCTGTAGAACCATATTTCTGTTACTCCAAAGAGATTCTCCATCCGTGAGGAGATTGCCCAGCATTCACTACCATATAGGAAGACGTATAATACATAACAGTTTAACACTCGTCTTTGTTTCTAAGAAAATCTTCCAATTTATTAATACTTTCCTTAGCTTTTGGAAGGCATATTTCGCTATTCCTATACGCCTTCGGATTTCTGTGTCACACTGCTAGTAAATACATGGCGTTAGCAAACTAAGTCATTTGTTTATGAGGTTACTTAAGCTAGTTTTGTATATTGAGGTCTGATATCGTTTCCACTAAACGAATTCTTCTATATAAGGTGTCGTTATATATCATGTGAAGCCCAAACTTTCAAATCGAGTGCAATTAGGGTTTTAAAAGCGGCCTGCCTTAATGCGACAATAGAGTCAATTGTATATATATATATATATATATATATATATATATATATATATATATATATATATATAATGTACATTATTCAAGCAGAAAATTAAAACAAAAAAAATACGACAGCGTTCAGATTTTGATATGAAATAAGCATGGAGTAAAGTCTTTAAAAACGAAATTCCTTTCACACACCATAATAATTATGGACACCTTTGAACCTATGTTACCTGCTTAGATTTATCAGGTGTATTTCTTTGATAATTCTATTTACCTGAATTCTTCGTCTTTGTGTGCGATGTCCCCCTCGGGACGTAGGCGATCACAACCCCCCAAAACTTGCTGTCCTTTGTAGCTCTAAATAGATTTTGTCTTTTTGCTATTTCCCTTTAACCCTGTCCCCCCATCCCTTTACTCAATCCCGTCTAGTATGTGACGGCGTTGTTTTTCTCTGTTTCCCTAAACCCTCCTTCCGTAAGTGGCCAAGAAATTTCAACTGAATACCAACATTGAAAAAAACAATGAATAATGGAGGACCCCGCCTACTTGAAAAACTTACAGGTCAGTATCTAATGATGTCTACAGAAGACAGTGTATGTGATTTATGTAGTTACAAAAATAATCAATATTTTCATGATCTATCTAGTTATCTCGCTAGGTATTTGAATCTGCTGATATTTCCTAAGCTTAGTTTAGGAAGGTACAAAATGGAAATAGGCTAAAATCGGGACGGGAAACCTGTGTTGCAACAGATCATCGTTAAAGTAAACATTTGCTGTTTGAGCGCATGCTCAATTCGAAACCTATCTATTGACATAGCAGGAATACACAAATATCAAAACTGACCGAGCAGGCCGATACAGATCGCTTCAATTTATTTGTTCACATTTCAGAGAATTTATCGATAGATAGATAAATAGATAGATAGATAGACAGACAGACAGACAGAGAAACACGGATATATATATATATATATATATATATATATATATATATATATATATATATATATATATATAGATAGATAGATAGATAGATAGATAGATAGATAGATAGATATGAACAGAGGAAGACAGATAGGTAGATAAATGTGAACAGAGATAGCTAGCTAGATAGATAGATACTAATATTGACGTATGAAATTGACTTACATATACATATACGTATATATAGAGTGAGATAGGGTACCTGCTGTGGTGTAATGGTTAGCGACTGAGTAGTGAGGTTGATGCTCACTGGGTAACCCATACATTCGGCCTTCTGTCACATCTAAGCTGCCTTTAGAAAATCATCAGATATACAGAAGATATATTGATAGATAAATACATATGAATATATTAATACAGATATATAAAGTTTCACTCGTATATGTATAACTACATACACACATATGCATATATGAGTCGATAGATAGATAGATAGATAGATAGATAGATATGAATATATAAATATAGAGACATGTAAATGAAGTTACATATATATCTATATATATATAGAGAGAGATGGGATATATATATATATATATACGCACACACACACATACACACACACACATATATATATATATATATATATATATATATATATATATATATATATATGGATAAACAAATATAGAGACATAAATTTAAGTTATATATATATAACTATATATATGTAGATCTATTGATATATATGAATATACAAATATAGACAAAATTAAGTTAGGTACACACACAGATGTACATAGATAGATATGAATACACTAATATAGAAAGATAAAATTAAGTTATATATATAATATATATGAGTGTGTGCGCGCGCGTGTGTGCGAAAATAGATAGATAGATAGATAGATAGATAGATAGATAGATAGATAGATATGAATATAAAATATGAAATATAAGCATATTTATATACATATCACATATAAACCTATCTATTTCTCTGTCTGATTTTGTTTCATCCCTGTCAAAATATTTAAAATCTATCTATCTATCTATCTATCTATCTATCTATCTATCTATCTATCTATGTTCATATTTCTTGTTTTCAATCTATTTTCTGTGCCTGTGTGACATTAGAAAGAGCATGTGAGCATGAGTATCTCGATAAGTGAATTTGTAATAATTTTCGAGAGCCGAGAAGTGTACGTATTTCCCAAAGCTGCTTCGGTCATTGTTCAAGTTCAGCAAATACCGCAGTTTTCAAATATTGATTTACATGAGAAATAGGCTAAACACACGCATAAGAAAGAAAGAAAAATGTTATGTCCAGTACATTCGTTTACTTGTTAAATCTGCCATCACCCCGGATAATATATTTCACCCAATGATTTGCACAGTGATTGAAATACTTGTATGTTTCCTTGTGGTTCTTTTTGTTAGTTTATTCTGGAAGTTGAAAGTGAAAAGCTTGGTTGTCTCCCCCTGAATAATTCTTCTTTACTTTAGGATGATGTTTCTCTACATCTTCCAATCTTTGTAACGCTTAGTAATCCTTGCCTTTTTGCAATCTCCCCCAAATCCTATCCTACAAACCAAAAGATCGATAGGTAAGGTCACCTCGACGTGCTATAATGGTTTGCAAGTTCGTCTCACTAAACTGGATAGTGAGTTCGATCCTCACTGGGTACTGCATACTTTTGGCTTTGTGCCACATCTATGCTGCGATTAGGAGATCATTTGGGCACCGCGACATGGTGTAATTGTTAGTGTTGTAACCTAGGGAATAGAATAATCAAATTACGGAATAGAATAATCAAATTACGGAATAGAATAATCAAATTACGGAATAGAATACTCAAATTACGGAATGGAATAATCAAACGAAGGTTGGTAATGAACGATAATACTTAGGACAAGAACAACACATATAAGATTCGCCAGCAGCGCGAAGAAGTAGTAGTCAACTGCTAGAAGTGAGTCAAGTGGATTCTACAATGATTCTCTAACTGCAAGATATCTACCAACTGCCCCATGCGATCAGATGTGGCGCAATTTAATTTAAAGTCGAATTTAATGTGGGGCATACGAGCCCGTAGGCTCGGCCAAAAATTCCCCGTAGACCCTGTATAAAAGGTTGTCGGGTAGCTGTTTCCCGAGACGAGTCTCTCCCCTTCGACATAGCCTCGTCATTAATTATTTCGGCATTAAATAACCCATAGAGATTGATATGCCGCTAAACAAAATCAACCAACCAACAATACATATTTATAGTAAAATTCCGAACAATACTCATTTCAAGCAAAATAACCAACAATATATTTTGTGTGTAGTTGAAGGCATAGAATTCAATACAAGGAATACGGTGCAAAATATATTTAGTTGAGGCCATAAAATTGTGTACGAACATGTAGATTTCGGTATTGGAAAACTCATAGAGATTTGTATGACATGAAACAAAATCAGCCAACGACCTTGACATTATTAGGGCGGCTAGCCAATCTCTATTGCAGACTCTTGCTCATGTGCATTTGTGTAAATTCAAAACCCACAGGGCCCAACTGTTGTTTATACTGCAACTATGCTGAGCGGACCTTAGTTACAGTTTCTGGGAAAGAGCACGTTATCTAGCGTGACCAAAAATTTGCACTCTCAAGCTCTCGGTCACGATGACTTGGAGCTTCGTGCTAGCAAAGTTATCGACGGTACTTAAGAGTTCCCTCTGCCCAGTTTAACTCACAAGGCTTTGGTCAACCCTTGGTTCGTTTTTCAGGCACATTCCAAAGGTGCCGCACGCTGGGTTCGACCCTCCAATCCGATAACATCAGGAACATTCTGACCACTCAGCCACGTATATATATATATATATATATATATATATATATATATATATATATATATATATATATATATATGGACAAATAGTTTTTACAGATGGAACGTGAAATTCGCCTAGCTAAAGTCTCACCTTCCGTTCCAATATAAAGTAGACGTAAATAAATTGGGCATTTTTTAACACTATGCGTCTTAACCTTATGAAAATTATCAATGACATTAGTCATAATGGATTCCAAAATTACCAAAGGATATCCATTTTTGAAAAGTGTCATCTTAATAAATTTCATTTCAATGCTGAGGAAGGCATTAGATCAGATTTTAAGGACTCTAAACGTCAAGGGTCTAATTAAATTAATTTTACGTTGGTACGATACAAAGGAATCACAACCTGTATATAAACCTGAAATGGTTGCCTTCCTAAAAACTGAAGTCGAAAAGCCGTTACTGTTCCTATGGACCAAAACATCCAAAAAGGATAAACTCGACTCCTTTTCAACGGTGAACTTTAAAAACGGATGAACAGAATTTAATACGGTGAGAAAAGTGTCAGCTTCACCCTCATCATTAAAGAGGCAAAAAGCATCATCCACATAGCGATGATACATTGGAGGTCGATTAATACGAGAAAATAATATGGCCTCGTGAAAACCAAAAAAATGTTAGCAAGCGAAGGACCCAAAGTAAATCCCATCGCAACCCTGTCAATTAGTCGATACATGATATTATTGAAACTGAATTCAACAGGCGAGGTGGCGAAGTTTAACAAATCAATAAACACCCTTTCAGAAAAATCCGGGTTAGACAATGAGGAACAGTATAACATATCACAGTAGATATCTATGGTCTCAACCAAAGGGACGCAGGTGAACAGCGAACAAATGTCAAAGGAACACATGAAACCAGGACTGAGGGGATAATTATGTATGAATTCAACAAAGAAAAAGAATCCTTAACACAGAAAGAACTAATGTGTAACAACACAGGTTGCAACATTATTGATAATAATTTCACAGGGGAGTGATAGCCGGTGTCGATTTTCATTTTGACTGTGTGGGTCTGGCCCAATTCCTTATCTGACTGAGCCACCACGTCTAGATTATCCATCAGCAGACCTCCCACTCTGGTTCTAAATTGATGCGGTGCTAATATATCTTCGTCCACTATTCCTTCTGTTTGCTCTACGAGTTTTCCTCGTTTCTCTTCGAATCTCACCCGGTTCAGAATCCATAGGGGTAGTGCTTTTCCTATCTCTTCCCCTCTCCTAACCTTTATAGTCTTTTGGGCCTGGTTCACAATCATAATGTGCACTAATTCAGCTGCCTCCACCACCGTCTCACACAGAGTTACCTCATTTTCTTCTAGGCCCTTCCCTTCTACAGGGACCAACTGCAGGGGTCCTTTTCCTATTTTCTTCCCTGACATTAACCTACCCTTTCCCGACACCGCCGTCCTAGGGGGTAGCTTTACATCTTCCTCCACCACTATTGTTATATCTTCTTCTGGTGGGCATCCCAATGGCGTTCTCTCGCCATTCACTATCAACACAGTGGGGTTGAACTCTATCTGGGCCCTCTGGCTCCGGAGCCAGTCTTCTCCCAAGATTGCTTCCGTACACAGGTTGGGGATTACGTAAAAATTTTGGGTGCTTCTTAATTTCCCAATCCTCACAGGGAGCCTCGCCATCCTTTTTATCACCAGGGGGGCTCCATCTGCTTGTGTGACCTCTATGTCCGCTTCCCGTAACCCACTCTTCCGTTTCACCCGCCTGTATGCTTCCTCTCTCAGCAATGACGCTCCTGTGTCTACCAGGGCTTTCATCGCCCTACCCCCTATCTCTGCTCTACAGGATAGCTCCTTCTCTTGCGTCAGCTAAGAGAACACTTGGGCTCTCTTTTTCCTGGGTCCCCACCTTTGGGTCACACAAGCCATAGCAACAAATCACCTTCATTATTCTCACGAGGTGGAGTTCTGCGTTTTCCCCACCTGGGCGGCCCCGGCTGGACCTCTCCCAGTCTCCTGCGGCTGTTCCTAAGGATACAACTCCTCTTCAGGTGCCCTGGTCTCCTACAAAACCAGCACCTTCCAGCCGGACAGTTCACCGCAAAGTGGCCCACCTGACCACATGTCCAACATTTTGCTCTTCTTCTCTTCAACTGGGCTACCCTCTCGTTTATTACCGGGTGGACCTGCCCACTACCTAGGTGGCTCGCTTGACCACTGGTCCAAGGTTTTATTTCCTTTCTTTTCAACTGGGCCACCCTCCCTCTTAATTCCGGGGTGGCCCGCAGGCTTTTCCCTGGCCCTGTCTCCCGGGCTCGGCCTTCTCTGTCAATATCGGTGGGGCACCTTTTCTCAGCCCGCACCACTTGGCTAGGTGTTCCTTCTTTCCACACCTAGTGCACCTGTCCCGCTCGAAGTCTGGGGGAAAACCCCACTTCGTCGGACATTCCGCTGCTCTGTGGTCCTCATGCCCACAAGTCCAGCAGACCAGCCCGTATCTACCCGGCGTGGGCTTATAGAACCCATGCCTTGTTGACCACGCCTTTCTATTGGGGTCTTCTTCCCACACTTCATCTACCTCCAGCTTGACCCTCCGATTCCACGCAGGGGCCTTCCGCCTTCCCCCCTTCTTCCGACCTTTTGACTTAGTACCTGTTTCCTTCCACACCTTCTCACCTTTTCCCATATGCCCTGGCTCTCTCTGGCCAGCTCTACTGCTGCCGATAGTCTCAGCTGTCCCTCCTTCAGCACGTCGTGACGAACACGCTCGTCACTGAGTGCCTCAATATACAGGTCCGCTAACTGGGCCTGCATGACCGCATTGTCTCTCACCACCTCTGGGAAGGCCAATGATGGCAGCTTCCCCGCTCGGGGCCCCCAATTCTCCAGGGTTTCGTCCCGCAGCTGCGTCAACTTTAGAGGGCTCATGGCCTCTATCGCCGTCCCATCGTCAGCGAACTCCTTAGTTAATAGTCCCTTTAACCTTTCCCATGACAAGTGGGGTTGACTCTCCAAGATCTCCTTCATAAACTCAGACGCTTTCCCTCTCGTGGCATCATATGCCAAATACAGGGTCTCCTGGTCTGTGAGTTCATATATAACCCGGCTCTTCTCCAGGATTGCCAGCCAGTTTTTGAAATCTCTCCCACTGCCGTCAAATGCTGGGACCCTCGGTCCACCCAACAATCCCCTCAGGTCAGCTGACAACCCCTGTCTAACCCCCTCTTCATCCCCCACTACTCTATCTGAATCATAGTCCGACATATTTAAAGAGAAAGACAATCTACGCAGCAACAATAGAGATTGGGAAA